TCGCTGGTGCAGAACTCTCCTTGGCCTTGGCCTCGGCTTCCTGCTTCTGTTTCGTAACCTGAGCTTGTTTGGCCAACGCGTGTAGATTCTGGGCGAGGTAGTTGAGGTGGCTGGTCAGATTCATCTGCTTTTGCTCGGCCGCCTTCTGAATGAACAGTTCCTCTACAGGTTCGGCATCAAACGAGTCGACCTCGTTCAGCTGAATTCGTAAAGGCTGGAGGGGATACAGCAACGGCACAATCATATGCAGTGTCTTGACGGCCTGCAACGAAGCCGGAAGCTCAGACCGTCTCTTCGGCTCAATAGGCAACGTGTACACGATACCGTCGGCGGAGCGCCGGTAAAGACTCAGCCGGCCCATGCGCGTCTCGATCTGGCGAGCCTCCTGTGCTCGTCGGGCTTTCGCTTCGGCCATCTGCTCCTGGGTGTAGGCAGGCTCATCGGGAACATGTCGTTTCGTAGGCTGCGGCGCAGATGGCGCCTGCGTCAGAGCCGCTGCTTCCAGTGCGACGGCAGAGGACTGAGACGATGAGGTGGACGGCGTCTCATGCCTGTCATCTTTGAAGATGGTGAGCTTGACCGTCTCGACCTTTTGCTCCGACAGAAACACCTCGAGATTCTTATCCAGAGAATGGGCGAAGGCGAGAAGGGTCGCGGCACCGCGCTTCTCGCGGACGATCCGCTCCCATCCGCGCTCGACGTTGATGCCGAAACCGCGCGGGATGTTCCGGTTCTTGACGTGTAGAACTGGGGCTGTCTCGGGATAGTCCTCCGGCACGTGGAGGTCACACTGGAGGAAGTCCAGGTCGAACGGAAAGTCTGGGTCTGAGGGTTTCATGCGGAAGATGAGGGACGTGGTGCCGTCACTCAGTGTCGTTTCACGAGGCGAGAAACGACGGCGTATCTGCTCGACCTGGTAGCCCCTCGGGTCTTTCTTCTGTGCCTCGGGCGTGGGTTTCGAGACGACTCGTTGGGCCGCCGGTTCAGTGACGGCCTGGAGGTGAGTGATTCCTCCTTGTTTCTCGAGTGACATCATGATGGGCGCCAATGATCTGTTGCCAGCGATGGAAAGGAAAAATTGCTCAATATTCTATGAGCTGAACAGTGAAAAGCAAGAAACGGAACGCGAGAAGAGGCAAGGCAAGGCCGGCTGCCGGTGATCTGGTAGAGTGTAGAGTGTGTATGACCTGCGAAGAAAGATTTGATATTTTGATCGGATGGTGTGCGAAAGGATCGATCAAGTAGACGATGGTCGTATCGTATAGTCGTGAAGTGGCGACGTGAAGTTGCATGGCAAGTTGGAGTGGAGTCGAGGCTGACGGAAGGTGATTCAGGATGACTCGGACCGAGTGGCGGCCGCTACACTCCGTAAGGCAGGCGCCGTCCGAGCCCGAGCCTGCCTTGACTTCAATCACCGTGGCCCCTCAGCATTTTTGTGAATACAGGTACCGGCATATTGATGCAATGGGCATGCTTCGAGCATCTTTCGTCATGCCGACTTGCTGTAACGACTGAAGAAATTTCAGAGCCTGGACGTCTCCCGCTGCGCACGGCTCGCCGCCGCCTGTTAGCCCCTCACAGTCCCTTTCCAGGTGACGATGTAGTGCCTTGGACATGCTCTGCCATCTATCAACCAAGCCGATGCCATGGACTGCCCTTTGCGTCTTGCGCCTTGCGCGAACTTGCAGCAACACATCTTTACACTTGCTGATACGGGCTCTTGCTCAGATAACTTCATGACTTTCATGGCAGACCGCCAGTCATCCTCGCAGCTCCAGCCAACAATTTACGCATCTCCATCCAGCGACCCTTGTCTTCCTGAATTCTGCCGTGTCACAAGATTATACCACAACAAGACTGATAGCTCCCCTTCGAAATCTCGAGCTAAGCCACTCATGACGAACTGGAGCTTCGAGGAAACCTTCTCATACCCCCAGTCTCATCTCGGACACGTCTTCCATTGGAGTGAGCCTTGGTGAAGCACGCAACACAAACGATGACCGACCAAGGTGTGTAACATGATCATCGTGGTCTCATCTCAGGATAAGAACCATTTCCCCTGACGACATGCAGAATAAAGAAACCACGCCCAAGGCCCAGACTATCGAAGCAGCTGTCCAGTGAAACACCTCGTCACGTAGGCCGCTGCCGGCTCCGTCCATATCGCATCGCCAGCAGAAAAGCCAACAGGCTAAGGCCCAGGCCCAGGCCCAGGCCTTGCCGCGACGGCACCACCAGGGTGTGCATGTAGCCTGGGGTCGCGCCATGTCTTCTCTGCCTCGTCACGCCCCGGCAACCCAGTAGCTGGAACACATCGAGGATCGAGAATCGTATCGCGCCTCCGGGGATGTCGACCCATGTCCACCGAGTCGCGAGGGCATGCGATGGTGCTTCCTTTCTTCATTTCTCATCACACACACACTCACTACACAAGCAAACAAGTATGGCGGTGGTGCCTGCGTTCTGCACCTCGCGTAGGTCAGGTACACGCCAGGTCAGGAGAAAAAAGCAACGCCGTCACGCCCCGGGGGGATCCCGGATCCCCGTGCGTTGTCTGGGCCCTGGCGGATGGTCCGGACCGGTGCCAGAAAGCCGGGGGTGGCACACGGACGAGACGGGAACTGGGCTCGGCACGAACTCTAATGGTCTTCGCCGCACGCGTATAAGCAAAGCAAGTCTTCCTCCCTGGGCCCTCCTCTAGAAACCTCGAGAGGAAGCCGGGGGGGCTAGATGCACCGTCCAAGCGGGCGGAAGAAGAATGCGTTTGGCGGGATTGAGTGCTCTCGTTGGTAGAAGACGTCTTGTGGGAAAAGGAAGAAGACGACGTCACTGCGCAGAGCAGGCGGGTCAGGAGAGCGCTGTCAGGAGGATGGGATGCCTATCGCGATCAGTGATCTGGCGGATGGGTAGAGGGATCGAGATGGGAGGGTTCTGGCAGGTGTGGTTGAACCGTCAAGACCACATGTTGTGTTTCAGTTTCGCGAGGTTCTTCTTCATTGTTTCGGGACAGTAATCAATGGTAAATCTGATCGCCATGGGAGGAGGAGATTGGCGGCGAGGGATCTGCTATGATGTCAATTGGTCGGATGACCCAGGCGCTCGATGGGATCGAAGATTCAAGGCCCACGATGCTTCGCAGAGCGGCCGGCCAAGCCAGTGTAGGGTGGGATGGTGCCAGGGGCACTGTGAGACGGGGGGGCCATTTGACAGCCTTATTTCCCAGCTCGGTGGGAGGAGGTTCAGCCTGGTGTGGGAGCCATGTCGATCTTGCTTCTTGCTGTGAGATTCAGGATATACATTGAGATGTATTCATGAATATTTCGAATAAAATAATCCATTATTCTTGAACGTGCGAACCCATGCCGCAGGACTTGGTGTTTTCGGTCAGCCCGCCAGCAGAAGCATAGGCATAGGCAGCGAGCGCAGGTCATCAGTCGTAGCCTCAGCCAATCCCCCAACCCAGCACCAGCAATACGCCCGACACAGCAGAGACAGAGTCTCCGCGATTTGCTGTTTGGGGCGAGGCATCCAGGGCTAGACTGTCAGTTCCAGAGGCCAGAATGAGCTGGGGCTGGAACGAGCTGGGGCTGGAACGAGCTGGGGCTGGAACGAGCTGGGGCTGGAACGTCAGCACCCAAGGTGATTCCCAAGGTGATTTGGTGAGGCGGTGCAGACAGTGCAGGCTGAATCCAGCAGCTCCGGCCTGGGGACCCTAGAAAAGTCGACGTGGCTGGTGGACCGAGGGCTTGCATGGTAGGTGTAGGCACCTTATTGCAACAGAGACAGCCGCGGAGGACAGTGGACGGATGCTAAAAAAACGAGCCTGTAGGGGTTCTCCGCGCCCCCCTTCGACGGTCCGACGTGCCTGTCCAGCTGACTCACATGATGGATGCTCGGGCTGCATGCAGTCTATCAGGTCGACCAGGACACATGGACTATCGTGCATGATGTCGGACGGCATCCATTGGATGGCGATGGGGGGCGGTACTTGTGCCGCGCGGGGATGACTTGTTCCAGGAAAATAGAGAAAATCATGAAATCGAATGTGCTGCTGCGGAAAGTATGTGACAAGATGGTGCTCAGGACGAGCATTGTCTTTCTTGGACATTGCGAAGATGATGCACTGCGCTGTGGTACCTAGAGGCCGGCCTCTCTCAGCACAGGGCAGATTACAGGGGACCTGGGTGCACTGGCGGAAGCTAACGGGCGGGAGAGCACCGCGGGCAGCGCCGGAGCCAGGCCATTCCACGCCACCCGCGGAGCCGACCAAAGGTGAAGAGGGGAGTGGTTGGTGTACATGCATTGGTCGCCAGCTGCGCAAAAGAAAACAAACAGCGTGCCAGATCCATTGAGCGGCCCCCAAGAGGTTGGATCAAGAGATTGGCGTTGGAGAGAAAATAATATTCCAATTTAATTCGAATATCCAGCCCGGACTCTGTACTCTGGGATCAAGAAACCTGCAGATAGCCAGGTGGACATGCAGGACTCTCCGTCTGTTACGGTGGCAGGCTTAGGTAAAGGCCAACCCCCCTTCCCCCCCAATCGATCCCCCCACACCCCTCACCACACCATCTCGACTCTCGCCTTCTCGCCTTCCACGCCTCTCACCGCCCAAACTTGCATACACTCCGTGGTCACCAGGACCCAAACCGATGTGTTGGCAATCCCTTACCATCCTCATGAGCCCCCCCAAATCCAGATCGACGTTGCATCAAGGTACCGCCCAGCCCCAAGGCTGAGTGCACTTCGGTCTCGCCATCCCTGGTCCAGACTGCGAGGCCACCCCGAAGTACCTACCTACCTAAGGTATCTATCTACCTTGACTCGCCATCTACCGACATCATCATCAGCATCAGCATCAGCATCACGCCCTGTTCGGCAGCTGCTTTGCCTCGGCGCATCGCACCGGCTGCCAGGCCATCACCCGCCGTGTATTCTTTGCGAGCTCGCCTATCACGGCCGCCCACCAACGGTCGGCTGCCAAAACAGAGCAAGTCACGATGACCAAGTGTACCATCTCACAGAACACGGCAACCCAGTCACCGCCGCCATGCCCTGCATTCGCCGCCCACGTCCTGGCGCCTCCCTGCCGCGCTGCTGCTGCCGGTCGCCTTCCCCGGACCATTAGCACGGCGCCTCGAAACCAGAATCGATACGGCAGCGAGAACCCTAGATGCCTGAAGACCGCTCTCTGGGCGCCCTCCCAGGCCGTCACCGCCCCCCCGTACGTGGCAGGTCTCGCCGCTTCTTCCTATCGAGACATTTCCTGGTCTGGCCCGGCTTACCAAACAAACGCCTTATTGTTGTTGCGCCGCCCTCCCTCGCTCTGCTTCCCTGACTTCCACGCGGCCATTCTCTACTGATCATCCCTCGTCTTCCCGATCGAACGAATCTACCTTTCGAGGGCTGCTGATACGAGTTCTCGGGACCTGGTGCAGCGAACACCGCCAATCTGCTTGCTGCGAGTAGGCAGACGTGAATGCCGTCGTACACGCTGGCGGTCGAGTGACCGGCTGGTCACTGGTCCCTGTGCATGGCCCGCCCTTCTCTTCTTTCCTGACTTCGTGCATGCGTGCTTCGTTTTATCTTCGCTACCCGATGCCCGGCACGCGGCCACCCAGGTCTGCCAGCGCAGAATCTATTGATGGGAGATAATTGCACTTTAGTGAGGTGTACATGCTCCTGAGGGCAGTGTACAATCGCGCAACCGCTGCTACATTGACAGCGCCGGCCGCCTCAACCTGGACCCCAAGGTTGTGCCCATTGGGCATCCATCCATCAGCCTGCGCCAGTTGTTCATCACCTGAAGCATTTGCTGTCAGGCAGGTTCGTCAGTGACGCTCCATCGCGATCTAGCCAAGCCAAAGCTGCGAACTTGTTCTTCAGTGTTTGGCTCTCGTGATGGTGAAGCTTCTGACGCGTGTGCGACCCTTGGTTTTACCTGTCGAGACATGAGCCCACCGCTTTGCAAAAGCTTGTCTTTTCCTACGTCATCCGAGTCTATGAATTCTCCGTACACCTGCCCCGGATTATCAGAAGGCGGGATAATTTAGCACACCGATCCTTCGAACCAGAGTTGGACCCTTTGGAGACCTTTGGCTTCGGCCCGCCAGCCGCCGCTCACGCCGTGCCAGCGTGGCTGTGGTACTGTTGTCATAGTCCACATGATGCTGCCAGGTGCGCGACGAAATTGGCCAGCCGGTCACGCCAGGGTCTTCGGCCGCCGGGTAAATCTCATCCGAGGAAACCAACTGCTGCATCAGTCGTCAGGTATAGAGTGCCCGACTTACACGGAGGTTCCTACCTAAATGCCGTGCCCGTGAGTTGGGAGACCAACTTGCACACAACACTATCAAGAGGCACTCTTTGGACATGATGTAGAACATCGTGGAGAACTCGATACCACCCTGGAGCAGAGCCGACATGGAGGCCAGGGGGTCCATATGATTGCGGTTTCTGGCCGTCATTCCGACGAGAGATAGTAGGACTCGTCTATCTTGCAGACTGGCGACCCTCACAAACGGTGGGCGTCCCAACAGTTTGGTCGTCCCATGTGAGGAGCTGGCGCCGGCACCCCACCGGCGAATGACGGAAAATTACCCCTTGGTCCCCCATAGGCATGCAGCACGGCATTTTGGGACAAGACCTGATATTAGCGAGGTCACAGAGGTTGGCTGTGATGACCGCGTTGCCGACCAGGGCCGACTGATCACCAAGGCGATATCTGCTGCACTCCCGTTCTGTCATGCAAGGGACAACGCCCAAGATACGAATGGATTTAGCGGCAGCGGTGCGAGTTCCATCTTCCTTGCCAGTGATGATTTGGGTTTTGGCGAAGGAGCGTGCCTGGGGACGTCCTATTTACATAAAAAGATGCGAGGGAGACGTGTAGAGCACGTAGAAAAGCGAGCTGAAGACTTGTATCTATCAGCAATATGTATCAATCCTACGAAGACAGCTTGCTGCCGTAGAGAGTCAAGCAGACACACGAGGCTTGATGTAGAATGTCTTGTTTGGCTAACAAAGCGCCGCGGCACAAACTACATTTGCGTCGACTTGGATCGAACAAGTCGTAAAGGCTGGATTGCCAATGCTTTTGCATAGCAAATACACAGCCCTGGAGAAACATCCTACGATTTTGGGATTTATTCTGATACTGAGTGCGAAAGAGGCTATGACCTGACCTTCGAAAGTTATACTATACCCTCGAGAGCTCAACCATCTGTCCGGACCCAGCACATGGACAATTTTGACTGCACTCCTAGTAGCGACACCAACAACTTCATCCAGCATACCGACGACAACGTCTACCTCCCGGTGCGGTAGGTTCATGATGAATGGACGTCGCTGATACAACGCGGCCGAATGCAGGTTGAAGGATCGTCCCGAAGCTTGGTGCTCCTGATCATCAACCGATAATGCCGGAGAATCACGGCAAACCGAATGTGTGGTCTTCCGCACGAGGTCTCCTCTATGCCAAGTCGGCACAATGACGAATAAAGCTTGTCGTGGTGTTAGCTCAATCAAGGAAGATCACGGTATTGCTACCCGTTCCAATGGTGAGCCGGCGCATCGTCTCCGCATTTCGTGCACTCGGGGATATCTGCAGATCGCGGGGAAAGCGTCGTTCGAACGGCACTCACAATACTTGCCGCACCAATCACGTTAACGGCCCCGGGCATGACATTCATCGTCCATGGCACAGGTCGGGCCCTGCCACGCGCGCCGTCATATAGTCGAGCATTTGCCTGCTCAAGGGCGGGCAGCATGTAGGTCTTGTTGAAACGCTCACCAAACCTCTCTTGACTCGGCCGCCATGCGCATCACGTCTCACCTCGTCGCCGCGAGCCTGTGCTTCGGCAAGGGCCTGGCCAGGCCCTCTTCTGCGCCGCCGCAGTATGTGGGATACCTCGTCTCCACTTTCAGCGACCCGAATCCTCAGGTGCAGTGGCACTTGTCGGAGGGTAATGATGCCTCTCGGTTCCGGTTCCTCAACGGCGGGAAAGCTGTTCTCACGTCCAATGTTGGGACCAAGGGCGTCAGGGACATCTTTCTCACCACCAACTCGGAAAGAACCGAGTACTTCACCATTGCCACCGGTCAGTCGGACGACGTTGCGCTGACTCAAACTCATGATGCTGATCATTTGTGACACAGATCTCGACATCAATGCCGAGGGCTTCTCGTGGTACCAAGCGACCACAAAGGGGAGCCTGGGCCTCGTCATCTGGTCATCGAAGAACCTGGTCGACTGGTCTGAGCCGTCCCTGAGGATGTAAGATTGGCGAACGAGCGCTCCCGAGAAAATATCCCGCTTACTCGACTGACGATCATGACAGCATCGAGGATCCAACCGGCGGCATGGCCTGGGCGCCGTCCGCCGTCTGGGACGATGAAACGCAGCAGTACTTTGTCTTCTGGGCCTCGCGGCACTACGCAGCCGCGGACGCGGAGCACGCTGGCCCAGCCAACCTCGACCGCATCCGCTACGCCACGACGCGCGACTTTGTCAGCTTCAGCAGGCCGCGGGACTACCACGCCCTGCCTGACACGCCGCTGATCGACCAGGAGTTTCAACATCTTGGCGCCCCAGGCGCGTACGCGCGTTTCCTGAAGAACGAAACGGTCAATCAGGTGTATCAAGAGACGACGACGGACGGCCTCTTCGGCACTTGGACGCGGGTGCCGGGATACGTGCGGCCCGAGAGCCCGTTGGAGGGCCCGGCCTCCTACGCCGATAACCTGATTGCTGGTCGCTATCACCTCTTCCTCGACAACTATACAGAGTACGTCCCTTTTGTGACGTCGAATGTTGCCACTGGCGTCTGGGCGCCGGCGTCGAGGGAGGGCTTCCCGCGCGGCCTGAAGCACGGAAGCGTCACGCCTTTGACGCAGAAGGAATATGACGCCGTGGCTGCTCGGTACCCTGCCTGACGAGCTCGAGGCTGTATGTCCAAGTACAGCAGAAGATCAAGCATGGAGAATCTTGGTAGTCCCATTGCCTATATGAAGCTTGTTGTCATTGGAGACGTTGTGTCGTGGCAGTGGCAGTAGCGCGCATCCAGTGCCTTTTTCCTTCTTTTGTTATGAGCGAAAGCGAAGCTTTGGTCTGATGTCACGACAGCAAGTTGGTGCGTTACTCATAGCATCTGGCGTAACCCATACTTGAAGCAAGATCTGCATGTGTCATCCAATGGCTGGCAGACGTCTATATCAACGCAAGGATATTTTGATCGACAAAACACGAAAGGTCGTGGGCCGTCACTCTGTAGCTCTGTGCAGTTTGGCGTGTTCAGCTTGCTAAGTAAGCGGCGAACGTCTCAATGACCCGGGGCCCAATGGACGAATGAACATTGCATGTGCGTTGGGTTTCATCCCTGGGTAGCAAGTGTGTTTGGATTGTCATGCGACTGTCAGTAACCGAATGATTTTTCAGTGCGTCGTCTGAAGTCTGAAGTATTACGCATTTTTGAAGAACATCGTCTGAAAACCTGACTGGTCCAGATGAGCACGACCGGAGGCTCAGTAAGTCTTGTTCTGCTTGTTCATCGGGTTGGGTGTACACAGCTCCCCTTCGGATTCGGTTGTTTCATGTGACGCGTGCAGCCCCTTTCAAGAGAGGGCCCTTCCAAGGTGGTGCTCTACAATCATCACGCAATTCAGCCAAGGCCCTCACACAAATCTATAAGTTGTGCTGTTAACCTTCTCTAGAGCCCCTTCGATTGTCTGGCACCGTGATACCTGGTGTGCTGTGTGGTGTTTTTATTCTTATTTTTCTTTACAGCGGTTTTGCATGCTCTTTTCTCCTTTTTTATTGCCTTTCGCATTGTTGTCGTTGAGCGTTTTCGTCTTTTCTTGAAGCCACTGTTGCTTCAGCATCCGAACCATGGCGACCATCGATCCTAACCAATCCAACGGCGGTTTGGTGCCAGCCGTCCCTAGTCCGGTTGCCTCTCCATCAGTCGACGCGGGTGCTGCTATCCCGACGGGTGCGGGTCAGCAGACCGAGGCGACAGGACCTGCATTCGCCTTCTTCACGCCATCCTTCGACCTCGCTCTCGCCGCAGCGGTCATATCAATGGCACTGGTTGTCATTCATCTCGGCCTGACACTGCGGAAACGAACCATGTTCTTTGGCCCCGTCATGACCATGGCCTCACTGCGTAAGGAGCATCAAACCCTCGAGCATCAAAGAAACGCTGTTAACATGACGTCTACTGCAAGTGTTCGGGGTTGGCATGACCTTAAGGCTGATAATGGCGATGGCTCCTGATGTGCATCAGCCATTCATCGCGTCTTCGCTCCTCTTGATGTAAGTTGCCGCCACCCATGCGGAGGGTCGCCAGCCTCAACGGTTGTCTCAAGTGTTCAGGCGCTCACGCCCAAAACCAGGATAACAACCGCCGTTGCTTCGACGGCAGTGACCTTTACATACACGAGACTGGTCTGGTGGATCACGCCTTATGAGCACCGCAACATCTCCAAGCTCTGGCTGCCTCCTCGAGTGACGTCTTTGATTCTCGTGGGGCTCGCAAGCATCGGTGACATCATTTCCACCTTGGGCAACGGCCAGATCATCAAGCCCCCTCCTGCGCACCTTCAGGCCACAGGTTCTGTGCTCAAGATGTTGGTGTGGACGGCCTTTTTCGGACTCGTGGCCCGCTTTACCGTTATAAGCCGTCGTTGGAGTATGGACGAAGCTACCAGAAAGGGATCTCTGGAGCTCGGCCTCGCGTTGACCGCGTCGTCGTTCTTCCTGGCTGTGAGTTTACTTTTTATTTCTTTTGGTCCGACGTTGTCACTTGTTCCAGATCTGTCTGACCATATCCCGTTCTCAGATCATTGGTATCATGAATGTCCTCGAAAAAGACGCCCTGGAAACTCTCATGTCAACTCGCCGACCGGGCTCCATCATCACCACGGAGGAGTGGCCCAGCTGGGTCTTCAACTTTCTGCCGACTCTCCTCGTCCTCTCCATCATGGCCGTCTATCACCCAGGCTATTACCTGCCGAAGCGGCTGACGGGCGGTCGCCTCAAGGGAAAGGAACTTGAGAGCATGGAGATGATCCGTGATGAGGAGAGTATCGACGTCGCGTCAGTCAAGAACGGTTGGGTGATCAGCAGCCCGAAGGTCATGACGGAGAAGGAAATCGAAATTGGCGTGAGCATGCAGACGTACGAGAGAGCGGGAGGCGTGCCCGTGGCTTATGCCAGATGACCCAGGCACGATGTGCAAGTTGATAGTTTGTACTCGCTCGGTCAGGCTGTGAAGACATCGTGAAGCTTTCGGATGCATGTATCATGGGTTTTAACTGGTGTTTCGCCTCGCACAGATACATGGGACTGACTCGGGCTCGTTTATGCACCCGTCTCCGATCCGCACATGGGGGGTTTTTCACCGCCCACAAGAGTTGCCTAGGCGTCGCCTGTATTCTGTCAGTATATTTTTACCCACGTGAGGCTCTGCCTGTTAGGCTGTAGTCATGGCCATCAGTATTTTCAGGGCAGCGCCAGCAGCAGCTCTAGTTGAGCATGTCTCTTTTGAGGCTCACCAAGACATGGCTTGCGGCCAATGCGACAGTGATCTTCATGAAACACAATGAGAGTGGGCTGCTTGCTTACGCGTGGATTTCGCCAGGTCCAGCTAATTCGCCTCCCTTGTTCCTAGGGATAATATGTCCCTTTGCCCTCAAATGGCCTGCCGAATACCACCAAAGCAAAGGAGGATAATTTATCACCCGACGGCTTTTTTGAATCAAATTACAGTCTCCGATCCGCAGTGGGCCTTGTACCACTGTATTCGCTTCCATCTCACATGGTTGCAATGACGACACTAGCTGACAGATGCTGTAGGATTGCTGTCAGGGCACCTCGAGCACTCGCGTCAAACTCTCACCACCCGCGCTCGCGGGCGGGGCCGAAACTATGGCAGACATCAGCGACCAAGTCAGAAAGGCCTGAGCCAAAAAAACAGAGCGGGGTGCCCCAGATATCAAGCTTTGATAGATGGCCTTGGCGTTAAGCTCATATCTCGGCTGCGCCATGCTTTAAGAGGGGCCTAACAGTTGTTTCTTTGTCTGAAGATGGCGACTGTCTGCTTCGGTTGTTGCAGCACGGAATCTTGTCACGGAAAAGGATTCTGGTCTCTGCACCATACTTAAAACTCATTTTCCGGAATGACTACAATCGTCGGATTCTATGTGCACCTTTTTTCCCCTTGTGGCGTGTCTGAGCACGCTACAGAGTGTTCAGGGCCAGTCACACTTGAGGCTTGGAGGCGCAAGGGTGTGATTTGTGATCGGAATCCGGCACGCAGCCACACCACATTGAGACTCGAACGCCTCCGTGCTTCGGAGTTCAGGGAACCAGAAACAAGAGAATCTAAAAACTCGCCGGAGCAGTGTGGCCTCCGAGAGGGCCGTGGCTGCTGACGACGGAGGGTATATCGCAATCAATCTGACTCTGATTCATCGTCAAGAGTCAGTCAACGAACGCCTTGGGCGACGGAGGAGGCCAGCCTTTGGTAGATCTCATGAACTCTCAGGCACCGATCTCGTACCTGCGTCGGTTTCGGAAGTCACGGGCCAAAGGATTTGAGTGGCGGTGTTGCATTCACATTTGAGGAGTCAGGTCCGTCATTGTGCGGGAGCTCCCCCCACACCTCTACCTGGTCACGATAAAGCCCTTGGCGAACCATCGCCAACTCGGCCGGCTGACTTGACGAACTTGACATCTTCGGAGGGTTGTATGCGGTGAAACCATCACAAACATGGATACAGCGGCAACCGAGAAACCTACGCTCTGTGTTTTTAGCGTTCATGTACGCACCACATGCCCCCTTCAGAGCACCACCACGATCGCACTCCAGAGCCGACGATGTCGCTCTGGGGTCGTGTCGGTATGACTTAGCGCCATGCACGAGGGTCCAGGCACCTCGTCTACGGTGTTTCTCCCCAGCGCCATCGTCCCATCCACGAGTGTGCAGGAGAGCGAGAAGGGGTCGGATTACCGGCATGGAAGACAGCTCGAGAGCTTGGCAGGCCTTCGATTTGGAAAAGCTCGTGGCAGTGCGGCCCGCCATGACAGGTCTGGTGGCGCCAGCCCAATTGTCTGATTGTCATCGCCGTGGAGGGCCGGCAGTGCTGAACCCCTGACAGAGGGCGCGGGCTTTTTTTTTTTCTTTTTCAATTCTGCCCAGCATCATTTTAGTCGGCCTCGCCTCATCTCGTTTCGAGGCCACTACGAAGCTTAACGCGCGTTCCCGATGTCTGGTACAGAACAACGAGCTGCGTTTTGTTGTATAGCATTCATACATGTATGCGCCTGGCTGCGTGTGTCATTCCTTCAAGCTACATGTACGTCGCTGAGGAAATCCAAGCAACTGTTCGCCTGATCTCTCGGCACACGCGCGTGATGTGACAAACTAGTCCTGGTGTGATTGATATTAATGATCATGGTTTCAGGGACGGTGAATCTGGCGAATGCTTCCTGACTCCAAAGGGGAAACATTCTCCGAACGGCCGTAGGAGCACACTGCAGCGAGGGAAGGGCACCATGGACCTGGTCTTCGCTTTCGCGAGGAGCCGACCGAAGGCGAGCTAAGGTATGTGATAGGAACGGTTCAAAGAACCGACCGGGATTTGTCAAAAGCCTCCAGCACCCACCAAAAGAGGAAGCCACTGGCCCGAGACTGGTACTACCAAGACACTCAGATTGCGCGTGGCGTGGCCTCTTGCGACGCATGCAAGGTGCCTGACGTTCGGGCCCCGTGTTCATCATGGTCGAAGGGGGTTCAGGATGCTACCGTGGATTGTAGATCATGACCTTACGGGTGGATAAGCTTTCGAATGCAGGCACGGTCATGGACAGAACGAAACGAACAGCTTGAGCTCCATCGAGCCCTGTGACGACATTGCAGTACTCAGATGCGACTCGGAGTGCCCTCAGTTAAGAATGTAGAGAGAAGTATGTCATGTGAATAGCATTGTGTGCCGACTGCCAATCGGGTCGTACCAGCATTAAGTTCTTACACCCCGCGGCTGTTTCAAGTTGTCGTCGGATGTTTGCGACTCGTCGCCCGTCACCCTCTCGACTCCCTCGGTGGTTACCCAAAAGAAGTTATCAGGCAATGTGTGGTCAAGCCAAGCAGACTACGCCCGCAGAAACCCTTGCAAACCCAGATATAAGGTTTGCCCCATCACCATTTCTGGAGGAAGTCCTGACTCATTTCGGCACTCATAACCCGAGCCCCTGTCCGACAGCGCGGTACGGCGCCCTGGACTACATGGTATTCTTGCGGGGAGGCAAGCACAGAGCCTCGCATCTTGCCGCTCCTCGTCCCGTCATCTGGGACCGGCAAACCTTCGCCAGGTTGGGGGCCCCTGCTGCTACATGAGATTTTATCGTGAGACGGGTTCCCCGGCCAAGATTAGGCTTGCAATCGGTGATGATGGTTAACCCACCCCGTTTGCATGTTGCCGTTATATATGAAAAGGCGTTAGTCCGAAGAACCCGCGTATCCACCTACGTAGATAATCAGATACATATCAACTCTCTCTCAACTCAATCTTCTTTTCTTTCACTGTTGGCTTTCAGGTCACGAAGATCCTGGCTGGGCACCAGGCCTTGTCGACACAAGAACCAACCGATTGCGAAATCTTGACGCTCACTCAACACGCCATGACTTTCATTGACCCCGAAATCCGGGCTTCGTCCCCTCCAAGCCCAGAGCCGTTTGAGAAGCCGGCAGCTGCATCCCTGCCAGAGGAGCTGCCCGGTACAGTATTCCTCATCTCTGCTGCTGGCAAAGTCCTCAAGCTTCCCATCCCTTCCGAATCGACCCGTGATCCTCTCAACTGGACCCCGGCCCGACGCGTCGCCGTCTTCAGCGCCCTGATGTTCTATACCGCTGTGTGTTTCTTTGAGAATAAGCTGCCGGCAGCGCTCATGGGAGCCTTTCATCACGAGTTTGATCCAGAGGTGCGTTTTTCATCTCCACAGCTTCTGGTGCCGGCCAGACTAACAAGAAGCAGGATGGCGGCCACCGCAACGTTGAGTCTCTCAACACAATCGTGGTCATCGCAAACGGCCTTGGGTACCTTATTTCTATTCCTCTCTCTGCGGCCGTCGGCCGTCGACCAATCCTTCTTGCTACCTGTCTCCTCACTTGTATCTCGACCATATCTGCTGGTCTTACCGAAACTTATATCGGTCTGGCCATCTCGATCTTCTTCCAAGGTCTTGCTGTTGGACAGAACTTTGGTATTGTAAGTCATGGCCATTGACAGCACTCCCATGTATGCTCAGATGGCTGACTATCTATATTTGCAGGGCGTATTGTATATTCTGGACGCTACATTTGTCAACGAACGACCCTATGCCCTGGCTCTCTACTGGTCAATCACTACCGGCTTGATCAGCATGCTTCTTATTCCCTTGCCGTACATCACTGACACGGCCGTCAACTGGAAGCCAGTCTACAGGGTGTGGATTATTCCCTGCGTCATATCTTTGCTTGTCATTTACTTCTTCATCCCGGAAAGCTTTTTCCTTCGCCCCGCTGTTGCCATGGATGGTCGCATCCTCACGCAGAGCTCCTCGGAAACCGTCCGCATCTACGACAACTGGGAGGATCTTGATGCAGAGGGCAGAGACCCCCACAGAGAGCTGGCCGACGAACCAAAGTCTTCGCTCCGCCGACAGTGTCTCAAGGTTACCAGAGCTATCGGCACGGAGTGGAAAGCAGCCGGCGCCATCTACATGCAAATGCTTCTTTGCTTCTGCAACCCACTTGTCCTCTGGGTCAGCTTGTGGGGCGCTGCTGTTCTCTGCAATGTGGTCTTCCTCAACCTCACCCAGGTTATGTTTCTTTCCAAGACTCTCGAGGGCGATGATTTGCGACTCATGAACACCTTCTTCGGCATCAGCGGTGGCGTCTCGTCCGTGTTTGCTTACTTTGCCTCCGGCCCCCTCATTGCCCGCTGCACGCGCCTCTTCACGGCTCGCTCGGGCGGTACGCGCCAGGCCGAAGTCTACCTCGTCGGCTTCATGATTCCCGTCGTCGCCGGCGCCACGAGCATTGGTCTCCACGCGGCTGCCATCACCAACGAGTGGCCCCCCGTGGCGCACTATATCAACTTTGGCCTCGCCAACTTCAGCTTCATCTGCGGCTTCGTCGCCACCATTATCTGGATCACCGAGGCTTTCCCTCCCTGGGCTTCTGCCTCTCTCTCTACCGAGCTCTTTACCCTCACCGTTCTGGCTTCCGTCCTCGCTCTCAACCTTGGCGAGTGGGCAAAGAGCGGCAACATCCTCGGCCCCTGCGCCGTCCTCGTTGCCCTTCTCGTCCTCATGGGCGTTCTCGCCGTGCCTTTGGCCTTCTGGGGAAAAACTGTACGTCAGTATATCCACGGCAAGTGGAGCCAGAACGAGAAGGGCGCCATCCGCCCGCAGTAAGGGGTCTCCTCGCAGAGACGAATACAATGTTTGATTGTCTGTGGCACGTTCACCGCAGGCATATGAATATCGAGACAGAATGAGGGACGCAACTCATGGAACACAGGACTGGAGTACTGGGGGAGGGGGCAACGGCACGACCGCGTCTTATTTCAAACGTTCCCTGCGAGACAGGACACATGCAGTCTGTCATACAATCAGACCACGCCAGTCGTTAATTCCCTTAATGTATCATTGGACATAGTAAAACGTACAAATAAAATGGCATTGTATAACTTTTGGAAGCCATGAATGATCAGAATGAACGCGCCGAAGCTTTTCCTCGCAGCTGCTGAAGATTCCGAGAAGACTATGCATGGCTGGAGAAAGTTAGTACGCATGACCTGAAGGTCCAGCTCACTTCACCCCAGCCCATGTAGTGAACCAGCCGCTCAACGCAACGCGTCCGACGCAGTCTTCCTCTTCCAGTTTGCTTGATCCAAGGAAATCAGTTGGCCTGTCTGGACACTTGAACACAGCCTTCCCCGTGTCACTCAGAGTAGCCAGGGCTGTCCGTCTGGGGCGCTAATGAAGATCCGCCATGCTGGTAAAGGAGCCGTCGTGTACTGCCTTCTCCTTGGTGACGTTACTTTCCGTAATGCCCTAATCAGTAAATGAGGGTGCGTATGAATACGTGTTGCCGAGATGAAGAAGTGCATGCAGTCAACTTGACCGAGGTTCCTTCAATCAGACAACAATGTATTGGAAGAGATGAACTCAAACCCTAACGTAGTGATGATCGTCAGGACAAAAGCACCAAGCGAGTCATGTTGGAAACGCAAATAAACTGCAACACCGCCTATGATCCCACCACACCGCGTAGTCACTACTCAGGCATCCCCTCCCCAAGTGAGCCTGTCTGCTCTATATGCCTTCCACTGCTGCACGCACGTGGCGATATTCCATCCCACAAGGGTCGCGAGCAGCAGACTATGAGCTGTCAGTCCGATGCTGGTCCGTCAAGACAATGTAGAATAGCGTGGAAAACATACACGTTGCCAATTTGTAGACCAAAGACGATCATCCTCCACGGATCGGCCTCGAAATCGCTGTTTCCAGCTCCGGCATGGAAGTTCTTGAGGTCCACAGCGGCCACGAGTCCGGCGGAGATGGAGCTCAGGATGAGGATGAAGATGTCGCCAAACAACAGGCGAACTAATGTCAAGGTGGCTAGTATGGAGGGGGCGACCTTGCGGCCTCGGCCGTACGCCCAGTAGCCATAAAAGATGATGGAGTTCCACAAAACGATGAGAATAGCCTGCAGAGTTAGTGAGCTTTGACTCAGGTTGGATACTGCTAACGGTCTGTTGTATGGTGGTGACGCACCGTGCTGATGGTCAGCTTGAACTCTATATCGAAGAGGGCGTCGATGTAGATGGACAAGGACATGATCGCCAGGCCATTAGCACTGCTGATGGCACGCACAATGTGCTGCCCCAGATGAATTGGATCTGGCTCCATGATGCGGACGCGGACTCAAATGGAAGTAAGTGTTGCTCTGTTTGATGGCACGAATATGGATCTGGAATTAGGAGGGCGTGGCCAGCGGCACTGAATTGGGCTGTCCCCTTAAATAAACCACCACAGTTCAGGATCACACCTCTCATTTCGGGGTCCCATCGCTCGCAGCCACGACACAATGCTGTGCAGCCAGCCCTTCGCAGCCCATTCGTTCAAACCCGACTACAAGACGCCCTGCCAGGGGTCTCAGGGTCTGCAGGGCTGGTCTTCAATCAGCCTTGGCCAATGGCTGTGCTGGGCAGACCGGAGGCCGTCGAGAAAAGGCGAGACCCCTGTCAGGCACCAATGCTCGGGATATCCTCATTGAGGATCGCGGGGTTTCGAATTTGGGTGCGAATCTTGCACCGCGAACACCTACTACTGACTTGTTTCTATCGTATGGGGTGTCTCAGAAGCGAATTCCGAATACTAAAGCTTCCACGTGGTGATTAGGATCGTAATGGACGCGCCTGACTTCCCAAGCTCATCAAGAGGAGTCAAATTGGCCGCAAGTCAAGAGCCGCAGTTCATGAGACTCCCCAAAGGCCACCAATCCGTAATCGGCACGATATTACACCTCTGCTGACCAGAACCTGCAGCAAGGGTCTTATTCAGTAGCGAGAATAGCAAGCATCTGGTGGTCTACTGGCCGCACTGTCCCAGTACGGTATCTGTAGATCTTAGTCGTGGAGAACGCTACTACCTCAAGGAGTAAAGCCTACATCTCAGAGGCAGACCTAGCCTCACCGTGCCTGACATGTCTCACAACGCCAATCCCGCTTCAACAGAATCTATCCATTGGCCAATGTGCAAATCTTGGCAACATCCAACTTCTGCATCCTGGGAGCTGGAGGTCTTCATGAGACCAAACCATGGCACGGGACGCAGAGTTCGTAAGATCCTTCTACTAAAGGACATGTCTGTTGCCATCTCCTATTGCGAGGCGCCAAAATTGCAGAGTTCGAGTCGCCAAATCTTGACTCCCGATTCTTACTCTGATTTCCTACCCCGCAATCTGCAACACATTTACCCCGCAATCTTAGATTCCATGCACGTCAATTGAGACCTCGTCTTCATTCAACATCATGAATATGTAAAATTGCTGCCCTGTTGGAGCTCTTAACCGAGATCGGCTGGCAACGCAGAGCGAGAGCGCGTAGGGCGCAGGGCGTAGAGCGGCGCTAAGCGTCTACATGCGGTGACTAACTCTCTCTTTTTTCCCCCACGAGGCACCTGTCGAGTCATGGAGCTAGATTAGAGCCTTGGGTTTTTAAGAGGACATATAAAGGACTACAAGTACCTCTCCTCCGCCATCCTGATCTAGAGCATGATCTTGTAGGTCAATCTACCTACCTCTTTGCATATTGAACGGATAAATTTCGAAATCGGAATCAATTGTTCATCATGGCGAGACCAGGACGTCTTTCGATACGAGGCGACATCCACGCCGAACCGGCCAGTCGGCCGCCAATGTTGGATGTGGTCTGTGATCTGTGGCATCCCGAGTCCAACCCTGGAGGGTACCTGAGTCTTGGAGTCGCCGAGAACGTGAGTACTTCGACTGCATGACGGGGGATCAATGCTCACACAACGCTTGCAGACATTGATGCATCAGGAGATGATCGAGTACATGAAGAAGACCGTAAGACATCTCCTCTTGGTTCCTTGGCCTTGAGCCACCATATTTCTCACGCTGTCATTCAGTTCAACATTGAGAGCCACTTCCTCACCTACGGAGATGGATTCACCGGCAGTCATCTCCTCCGCGAAGTTGCCGCCAAGTTTATCAATGAGCGTTTCCGCCCAGTCAACCCGGTGCTCAAGAAGCATGTTTCCATCACATCGGGTGTGGGCCCGGCCCTGGAGCTGAGCTCGTTCTCGCTTTGTGACCCTGGAGATGGCATTCTACTGGGGCGGCCGTACTACGGAACATTTCCTAGTGATATGGGAGCGAGGGCCGGGTATGTTCTCATCTTTGCTCTTCCCCGGTCACGAGACGCAGAGCGTCAAATTACGAGAGTTGCAGGCTAATGGCAATTCAGAGCGCAAATAGTTGCAGTATCGTTCGGGGGGATTGATCCCCTCAGCCAAGAGGCCATCGCTTTTTATGAGCAGGCGCTGCTGGATGCAAAGGAAAGGGGTATCACCACCAAAGCGCTGATCCTCTGTAATCCCCATAACCCACTAGGTGAGTGTCGCCTCAGAGAGCCATGCCTCGTACAAGGTACACCGGGCTATTGAAGAACGGTGTGGCTGATGACTATTTGCTCAGGCCGCTGCTATCCTCGCAGCGTTATCGAAGGTTACATGCGACTTTGCCAGAAGTACAGCCTCCATCTGCTCAGCGACGAGATCTACGCGCTTTCGATTTGGGACAACCCCGACGCGGCCGATGCTCCAGGTTTCACGTCAGCCTTGTCGATTGACACGACAGACCTCATCGATTCAGACCTGGTACATGTTCTCTGGGGAATGAGCAAGGTAGAGACTTTCGTAAAATGGCGTCCGATTTTCCCGCTGACAACATGGCAGGATTTCGGCTCCAATGGCATCAGATTAGGATGCATCATCAGCACAAACGAGCCATTCCAGCAGGCAGTCGAGGCGAACGCTTACTGGACCTGTGCATCAGCACTGACGGACCAAGCGACGGCCAGAATCTTGGCCGATACAGCGTTTGTCGACTCCTACGTCGCGACGAACCAGGCACGTCTTGCGGCAAGCTATGCCGTCACCACCCGCTTTCTCCGAGAAAATAATGTTCCCTACGAGAAGGGCGGCAATGCCGGCTTCTTCGTGTGGATCGACCTGTTCACACGGTTGAAGAAGAACGTCGAGATCAAATTGTCGGAGGCAGAGCTGTGGGCTTTGGAGGCCGAGTTGCAGGAGACGCTGCTGAGAAACCGCGTTTTTCTGGCTTGCGGTAAAGCGTTTGGCAGTGATGTGCCTGGGCGCTTCCGCATTGTCTTTGCACATGAAAAGGAGTATTTGGAGGAGGGGCTCAGGCGGATGTTGAAGACAGTTCAGTCTTTCAGCCAGGGCTTGCGGAATCAGTAGCCAGTGGCTGCTGTTGGTGATCACTTAAAGAGCTTTCCCATGTTTGACGTCAAACCTGAAGCAACCCATCACGAGCGAAATTGCATAGACCTGGACAGAGCCCGAGATCTCATGGCTGGTGTCTAGCAACCTGAAACCTCTCACCGATGAAGCTAAGAGCAGTCCATGAACCAAAAGCGCTGCATCGTGGAAGATTATCACGACGCATCAAACGCAAACTAGGTCCAAGTCTTATATTTACGACCGAGGCGCTCTCAATACACAACTGAACAAGAGTAAACTATATCGAAGAGTAGGAAACGTAGGAACCCGACACGATGCAAGCAGCATCGTTATGGCCTCTGCACACAAGTAAGCGTCCATCATTAAAGCATAGCTAATCCCAAGTACGGTGTACGTCGTATATACAAGCACTCCATGTCGACGTCCAAAGCGAGGAAAGCTCACCTGCAGCGCGTCACATTCGGCCGAAAGGACGTGGCACAATCAAAGCTGCGCGCATCGTTCGGGTCTGACACGCCGTCATAACGCGGGACCAGTGGGTACGGACAGATGATCCTCTCAGCCTCCTCGCCGTCGAGGTTCTTCATGGTCCCGCTCAGACGCCCCGGATCCTCAGCCTTCTCAACCCAGGCCACCAACGCATCCAAGACTTTCCGCGGCGTGGCGCCAGCCTCGCCTTCGCAATGCCCGACACCGGGCGCCAGGTAGAACTTGTAGAAGTCGTCCACAAGATCCGCTCCGCCCATGACGGCCTCGACCTGCTCGCGGTACCGGATGGTGTTGTTGATCATGATGAGCTGGTCGGCCGTGCCGTGCCAGCTGATGAGCTTTCCGCCGGCGTCCCTGAAAGCTGACAGATCTGGGTTGTTGGACCCGATGATGCTATCATACGTGCCCGGTGCCACGGCGAAGAGATCGGTCATATCGTCGATGGCCGTGAGAGTCGAGACGTCAAATTTGACGTCCTTTTCAATAAAGTACTCAATCCAGGAATCGACGAGTCTGTCCATAGCCTCTGGGATACCGCTGACAGCGGCTGGAACCAGGCCGAGGTAGTTGATGCCCCAGTCATGACCATCCCACAGCTTCCTGCCCCTGCTCGACTTGGGACCCTCGCGAATCATCGTTGCGATCGTCACATCCTCCTCGGTGATGACTTGAGTCGTCTCGTCCATACACTTTACCTTCTCGCCGACGAGCGAAGAAGGATCAAAATGGCAGGCATTCGGGTCCGATATGACCCCATCTTGGACGCCGTCAAGCGCGTCGCACGCATCGATACTGCTAGCGGTGAACGCCTGCATAGCACAAAAGGTCGGCGTATGGCCGGTGACTCGCATGGCGTGCCGGCCCCAGCCCAATGCCAAGACGAAGCTAGACCAGTGCAGAGCCGGAGCGTTGGCCAAGATGCCATCAAAGTCCTCGGGGTATCGCTGAGCCAGCTCATAGCCCTGTCGCCCACCGGTGGAGCAGCCAGTCCAGTATGAGTAAAAGTTGGCAGTATCGTAGAACCCTGCCGTCACGGCCTTGCCGACGACAGCCACCTCGTGCAGCGCGCGGTGGGCAAAATTGGTGAGGCGTTCGAGGTCAAGAACTCCAGGCTTGAGGAAGAGAGCTGGATCAGGATTGTTAGCTCCGTCGCCGAAGGCGCTTCCGTCCGTCGCGGCGGCAGCGTAGCCATCTTTGACGGCTAGGCCCAGGGTGTCAAGGCTGTAACGGCCGGCCTGCAAGCCGCCGCCGCCGACGCCCTGGAATCTGCCATTCCATTGCCTCAGGGGAAGCCACACCCAGATGGTGACCTCGTCGTTGGCACCGGGATGTGTGAGAGTTACATTAACCTCGCAGAAGTCCAGTGGCCCGAGGGTAGTGAGCTTCTGGTTCTCGGCATCCCAAGCCGACCCGGTGAGGTCCAGGCGAAGTTCAGACTTGACTGATAGGACCTCAGCACCTGAAAGTTCAGGAACCGATATGGACTTGCATGCATCGGAAGGCTGGCGTGGACGAAGTTTATGGCCTACAGTAGGCTGAACGCCGAGGAAAGCCAAAGCTAACAGGGGTGAGAGGGGCTGTGAGAGGATCATGGTCGAAGACTATGGCAGGCGTTACGTCTTGTGCATGCTGAGATACGAATCTTCCTTCTCTCAATTGTCTCGTGGGCCTCGGTCGTCCCCGCCGTCAACTCATCCCCATCGTAAGACTTATAACAGGACCGAATGCCTATCTTTCTCGAAGGATCTCAGGTTAAAAGTCGCGAGACATCCGCGACGGACGCAAGCCCAAAAGAACTTGCTCTATATCCCTCAAGAGACCCTTCCAATATATCCAAAGGATGCGAGCCGCTGCATAAATATAGTGCGGATGAAAAATTCCTGGCCATGGCGGCTTCCCAAGGGATATATCAGACATGGCGCCCTGCAGATCTCTTTTTTCTGTGGTCAATCGCAGCACGATGCGTCAACGTTAACCACATTAAGGAGAAGGATGAGAAAATGAAATTCATTGAATAAGCAGAGTAAGCTGAAGGCGTGACGAGTGAGATATTAGGAGCTTGGTCTGAGAAGTTGATCAATCATCTTGTCTTGGCGTTGATACTTGCAGTGACAAATGACCTTGATGTTTGGTTCCCTTGTCCGATTCATGTTCGGAGACCACGCTCCGAAGAGAGGATCCCGCCCCGCCAGGCGAACCAGCGCTCAAAGAAAGTCGATGACGTGCCATCTCCGCATGTTGTTTTTAGGCGCAATTGATTCACAGCGTTTGAATGCTACGCTGACCACACGGCCAAATCACGTAAGGTGGTTGCCATCTTCTATTCATCAGGTGCTCTCAAGTTGGCCTCCGGATACCGGGAGTCGACCTCAGCTTCATTCATTACATGAGCTGATCGTTCTAGAGATGTGTTGTCTGTCTGTTGATTGTCCTGGGTACGATGGCTCTGACTCTGGGGCAGAAGTGGTGAACATGGCCGTTAGCTGGAGGTCACAGGCTCAGGTACCTGCAATCAAGGACAGGGTGGTCCCACCAGGACATTGTCCCTCCCAGCTCATCTCTAAGTGGGTAAACTGGTTATGAGAGGATGAGACCTGTGTTTTAGAGACGAAACCTCCGAAATTGGGACGGATCATCTCCGGTGCCGATGACAGGGCCCGGCCCCACACTCGGCACGGAGCGTTCGTGGTTCACCGCGCTCCTGAGGCAGCAGCCTGGTTCTGACTCTGACTCGGTGATCCTCGGCAATCTTACATTGCAGGTCTCGTACTGAGGCCGTCCCATGCCATGCGTCAAGAAGCATGTTGGCCATTGAGAGTATCAAGAAATGGGCTGCTTCAAAATGCGAAGATGAGAGATCCTCGAGCTTGACGCCTGGCGAATTTTGTGCCGTTCGTTTCGGAGCAGAGACAGTCGAGCTAACCATTCATACGCACAACATGTGAAGACATGGATGGGGAAAAGCGTCCAAGCGCTGCTAGGTGTCGATCACACCTCGGACGACGGTGAGATGGTCGGAGCTGTTGGCTGGCTACGGCCCAAGGAGGCCGTGACTCCTACCTACCTTACCTACCTTAAGGGAGGGAGGATGGCGATGCAGCAGGATTAAGGCGATGAGGAGATGGAAGGCATTGGATGATGCGTTGTTCGGCGATGATCAGCCTGATGTCGTGGCAGCCTGACGAAGGAAGAAGGTGAGGTCGAGCCTGACCGCCTTGGGCGTGAGGCGACGTGGTTGGGCGAGCCTGCCAGCCCGCCAGCCAGTCGGCCAGCCATGCAGGCGTGCGTTGTCTGTCTGGGTTGGGTGGGTTGCGTTGTGTGCGTGCGTGCTGCCAGATGCAGGCATTGGATGCATGAACGATATGTATGTTCGAAGCCTCACTCTGCACATCATGTGAAATATGCTCTCGGGTAGACCGAGGTGAAGGTGGATAGACGGCAGATGGGCTTCATCTCGCGTTGGGTTGGAGGCGGTCGTGGTGGTAGTGGGGGTCCCAGAGAGAGACAGAGAGAGAGAGAGAGGAAGTCAAATGTCAAGAGATGCCGAGTCAAAACGTCGGTGTATGAAGATGACTAACAGCGGCCAACGGCAGCGTTAAGTGGTTGCAGCTGCCAGCTGCAGCGAGGATGGGCAGCGAGACGGGCGGCTAGGCGTTCACGCTAGGAGCGCTAAGACAACCGGGGGGGTTCCAGGGGTTCCAGGGGGTTCCAGGAGGTGCGGCTTCAGGGCGTTTTGGGCAGCTCCAGCGGGTTCAGCGGGTTGTAAAAGGCTTGGGCGCCCCGTCCTCGAGGGGGGGCTCCAGGCCCTCTAGCTGCCATGGCTGCCAATAATTCTGGTCGGTTCAGGTGATGTGGTGGGGCAGACGCTCAGGGTCCCTGTCGTCTTTTCGACAGCTCATTTTGTCACCGAGTGAACGGCGGACCGCCCCCCATGATGCCGAAGAAAAAAAAACATCATTGGGAGGGGAGGGGGGGGGGGGGGGCCTTCCATGACCCGCCGCCGCTTGCTCTTCCCTCCTGCATCTCTTCTCTCTCAAATCCCTCGCGCTTCCTCCCCTCGCAAGC